TATTACTAGTGAAAGTACAATGCGGATGCGGAACTTGTCACAAGTGTGGCCTCAGTTTTAAATGTTATACAACCAGTACGTTCACCTATGCGGTGCATGAACAGTCTTGCAGAATGACTGAAAAATATCGTGCATACCGGAAATACCACAATATCGGATGTAGTCAGTTTATAATTAATACTAGCAATTCACGTACCGAAAGACAGAGCGTGGGTAGGTGGTCCGACGACCTGGTGAAGGTCGCGGAAAAACGTAGGATTCGGGCAGCACAGGACTGGTTGTTGTGGCGAACCTTTGGGGAGGCCTATGCCCAGCAGTGGACGTCTTTTGACTGATGATGATGAGTAGCCTTTTCCAGTGAATTCGTTTGTGTTAATTTCGTTTTTTTACCGACTTTATAAAAAGGAGGTTCTCAGTTCGGCTGTTTTTGGAATGAAGTTATTTATCGCGTGTTACACGCTCTGAGCGGATAGAAGCGAGAACGAAAAATGTGTAACAAGACTTTTTTCCGACACTTCTTGCGTAACTTCATTTTTTCATATTTTTTTCTGAACATTTTTATGTTTGTTACGTCAGAACTGTAACGGACTGCTATTCTAAAGGTCACGGGTTCGATTCCCGGTCAAGTCAAATATTTGTGAGCATGAACATTTAATGTTTGATTTGGTCTGGGTGTTTCTATGTATAATATGTATGTATTTACAAAAAAAAAAAACTATATATGTATTTATATCAGTTGTCTAGTACCCATAGTACCAGCTCTGCTTATTTTGGGACTAGATGGCGTTGTGAGAATGTGATAGAATATTATTATTATTATTTCAAAACCGATTTCGACGAACCTTTTTTATTTAAAAAGGAATGCTTGCTGTTTGGTCCTGTTCGAATTTGAAGATAAAATAAGCCATATAGGCTGATGAAACTGAACACGACGTCACAGAAAACTGCTATTAATCGATTCTTTCGTAGCTTTCGTTAAAGTGAATATAGTTATCGAAGTACAACCCCTCTTTGATTGAAACTCATAATGTTAGGAACGGAATAAAATCACAATCACTTGTGATAAATTTACAAAACCACAGCGAATTATTATTACGCTAGAGATTCGCGAAAGGACTAAATCTACAGAAAAAGGTCTTGGATACTTAAAAATAATTTTGAGTGCATTTATGTTTGTCAATGATGAAGTCACAATCACAGTTGCAAACGCAGTGACTAAAACCAACAATTTCATCATATGATTATGATTTAAAAGTAGCAACAATTGCCATGTCTATAAAATATCTTTGTCAACACCCCTGTTCATCCCGTGGGTATCGTAAGAGTAGACTAAGAAGCAAACTACGCAGGACAAAAACACTTTCAAAGAGAAGGAAAACTTGAAACAAACGCTATACCAACCCGTCTGGCCAGCGTGATATAGTAAGCCAAAACCTCCTTTCTAAGGAGAGGCCTATGTGCATCTCTCTGGCAAAGCTTCCACGGCCTCACAGAAAACCGGTGTTAACAATTTTATTTCTTTTCGCCATGTATGTGAGGTTGCTGGAGGACCAAGACCTCCTTAATCCTAACTCACATGGCGTCAGCGCACATCTCTTTTTTTTTTTTCTTTTTTTAAAAAGACAACGCCCGCATTAGGAATAAATCCTGTGTCGCGGGGGACTTTACAAACATACATGAAACGGACACAAAGAACACCCAGACTCAGAACAACAATTTGTGGATCACACAAAGTGTCGTCCCATGTGGGGTTTGAACCCACAACACTCGGCGTAGTAGGAAGCGGCGTGGCGACCACTTAAACCACTACGCCATCCGTGCAGTCAATTGAATTGTTGGAGTCTATCAGAATCAGAATCGGTGGTGTATAATATCAGGCGACACATCTGAGCCTCCTTAATGTGTGCGATGTACTGTTCATTAGAATTCTAAGTAACCCTACTTCAAATGCGGCGTTAGACTTATTTGAGATATTTTCACAGCAACGACTTCCCTTTTCTCCTATCATAACATACTTAATATCTTAGAATAAGCCACGATGGGGCTAACATATTTCTTTTGTAAATAAATAAAGATTTAAAAAAGAACTGGGCCTCAATTATGCTATTTTAAATTAACCACAAACTGTCATTTCATTGACACACTATTGCTGGATGCTACTGACATCGGTATTCTACTAACATAAAATCACAGTGTCAATAGACTGTCGATATGGTAGTATAGGCCATCAATGGTGATATCAACAACATTGCCATGTCAAAAAATTTTTTATCATTTTTTTACAAAAATATACTGTTCACCAAACTATTACAAAGACATCGACGATATTTGTATCAGTGACAAGTCAGGCCATTGGTCTTACACAGTTAGTAGAATAGGAAAAGTGCAAAACTATTCCGACGACATTCCGTCGACAGTCTATTGATACAATATTAGAATAGCAGAATTGAGGCTCCGATCGTTTGGCTTTTGATACTGTCAGTTATGGTATAGTCACACTGATTACTTCACGGGATGATGAATTATATTTGGATGTACTTGAGTCAGGCGGTTTTCTGCTGAAATGCATATAAAACCAAGAAAATATTTCTACAGAACCGTATCATTTTTTTTTCTTAAAAAGATCACTCCCGCACTAGGGATATATCCGGCGACGAGGGGGACTTTACAAACATACATGAAACGGACCCAAAGAACACCCAGAGTTTTTGAATCACAAAGTGTTGTTTTATGTGGGGATCGAACCCACAACATTTTTTCCTACTCCGGGTAGGAAGCTACACTCAAATCCTAAATAGGTTCATTATAAATAAAACAACAGCTACATATAACAAATATTTATTTTCAAATAAAAATTACAACGAAAATTTGATAATGGCTTATAACTAAACTAGAAAACCATGTCGACTCATTCAATGCCTTGTTCTTTTTTAAAGTTCGATTATAAAACAAAAGATATACAGACTCAAATAGAAAAGAAATGGTTCAATAAACTACCGCTAGGGGCGCTGCAATAGTAAAAACATTAGTTCGAAGTTTATGATTAATTACTATGAAGGACCAACATTTTTTCTTTTTTTTTACTAACAAACTTATTTAAATAGCAATGAGGCATAGTACAGATTTAATTTCATGAAATCCAAATTAATTAAATAGTTCAATAAATTACCGCTAGGTGCGCTGATGGAGCTAAAGTTTTCGTCAGAAATTGAAGTTAAATTAACAAACCTATTTAGAAAGCAACAAGGTTTTCTCGTTAGGGCTTCATAAATTCCAAATTTAAAAAAAAAGAAGATGGTGATTGTCTATGACGTGTTATTGTATTGTCTATGAAAGGCCAACAATTTTATAGATTTTTAAAACACATTTTTCTTTTCTTTTTTTAAAGTGGTCACCAGTGTTTATTTCCACTGTCAACACCAGCATAGTGAGTATCGCGTCGCTAATCCCATATATTTTTTTATGTTAGAGTGGGCAGACGAGAAGACGGGTCACCTGATGGAAAGTGATCATCGCCGCCCATGACCGTCTGCAACTCAGGAGTCACAAACGCGTTGCCGGCCTTTTAGGAAGGAGTACACTCTTCTTTTCGAAGGTTTCCTTCAGTATAAAGTTTCCCACTTATAATTAATAGTAAATACTTTTCTATAAAAAAAAAATGCTTTCACAGCCCAACCTCCTCTCAAATGACCAGGAGTGAAGCTGATAGGAGAGAACTACCTGACGAAGGAGATAGTAGAAATGGAAGATAGAAGAATTATGAAAAGAAATTTTTACCTTTTATTCTCTATTTAAACGTTGATTATTCATAAATAAATGAATTGAATTGCGGGGAACTAGTAAAATAAAATATTGAATTTTATCTAGTTTAGATTTTTTTTGAACTTAAAGTTATAGGGTTTTAATATATTTAATAAAAAATTACAAAATTTTTTTCACCCCAAATACAAGTAATTTAATTTATTGCAAAGAATGAGTCGACGTTTTTTATTTTCAAAACACTGAACCGAATAATTAATAAAATATATAAATAATACAACTATTAATAAATATGGTAGTTTTTATTTTACTGTTTTTTTTGTTTCGTTCTCAAAGTTGTCTATGTTTAATTTTGTAGTTCAATATATACATAGCATTAATCATGTTATATACACTCATGTTTTTAACATTAAAATGTGAAATTCTCGTCATATAGATAAAACCTGTGATATCTCAAGTCTGCATTAATAATTAATTACATAAGTGATTTTGCAGAGTTTCAACATCTAGTGTGACATGGAACATCAATTACAAACTCCAGACATTTTGGAAAAAGATGCAAGATGAATATTGTCTTTTGAATTCAATGCTTGTAATTGCAGTGCAATAAAAATGCAGTCAGTAATTTAAATTTAAAACAAACCGCCACTTTAGAAGTAATTGTGGATTATAATAATAAAATATGGCTATAACATTGTTGTATTTTAAAAGTAATAAGTGAAAATTGCAATATCCGAACAACCCTTACAAACGGGTCTTAATAAATTGATCTGCAGAGTTAAGCGAATTTGCAGAGATGTAACTTGCAGTAACTGACACGACATATTAAAAGTTGCTTTCGATGTTGTTACATAAATATATAAGTAAATATTTATTTAATATTGCCTCGTCACGTCTTTACATTATTAGTTTGATAATAATCAAACGCTCGGCCATTTTTCCTTATAAGAATCCCCTTCATTGTCTTTTCCTTAAGGAGAACAGCCTTAAGTCCGTAGATAATTGTTACTATTAAAATATCACAATTCAAACAAGATACAACTAAATTAATATTGTGTAACATTAATCCATTTTATCTCTCGCACTCGAATTTCAAGAGATTAAAACATTAACTCCTATGTGCAACTAATGTATCCTCTTTCAATTGTGTGATTTGTAAGTAGCATATAGTCAATACAAGTACAAATAGTTCTTAATAAGTGAGTTTGCAGAGTTTAAGTGGTATTGCAGAGTTCACTCACTACATCTGCTGAGTTGAATTCCCGTTCCATGTGTTATTGTCGTCGTCTGTAGGTCTATCGCTGGGTAGGCGGTGTATGTTGCCCCGGCGGCGAAGGTTGCCGATGTTTGGTTGTGGGGGTTGTGGGCTCGATGGGCTGGGGTCGCGGGACGTCGATGTCGATGGGGGTGGGAACAATCTTGTTCGTAGCCATTGATAAAGTTGTTGTGATGGTTGTAATATAATTGTTGTGAATAGCTGTGTGAAATATGCTGTAAAACAAAAACTTTTTTTTTATTTACAAAACACTGTCCTGTCTGTGGTGACGGATTAATAATACGGAATGTGACCACCCCTATTCATCCCGTGGGTGTCGTACTAAGGGAAAAAACTACGCAGGACAAGAGCATTGCAAAGAGAAGGAAAACTTGAAACAAGCTCTATACCAACCCGTCTAGCCAGCGTGGTATAGTAGGCCAAAACTTCCTTTCCGCCTTCCTTCAAGGAGAGGCCTATGTTCAGCAGTGGACTATTATAGGCTGTTGATGATGATGAATATAAACACAAGAAATATTGAATTATTTTGTCCTGTTTAAACTTTTGTGAATAATTTGACTGGTGTTTAGATACTTTTAAAGACACGATACGAAAATATAAATAATTTGAAAAAAAACTAAGTTTTCAATTTAATTTAAGTTAGTAGCAAGTTTAAAAGTTATTCGGTAATTATAATAATAATATTTTCACACATCTCACACACGGCCGTCTGATTCCAAACTAGGTAGAGCCTGTACTATGGTAACCAGGCTACTGATAAACTTACTTATATATTTCTAAATACATACATATTATAGATATAGTACACACATATAGTACATTACTCAGACGGTGGCGTAAGAAGGAAAAAATCTTCTACCTTCTAAAAAGATGATAAAATCTCATTTCATAACCAGTTTTTTCAGTTACTAAGGGGTTTTACGGTAGACATAATGTGTAACATAAGTAGGTATACTGACTGACGAGCGCCGTGAAGCTGGTGGTGGTGGCGATGGTGGGCGCTTGCCTCCGCGGCAGCACGAGCAGGGCTGCGGAGGGTGCTAGCTGGAGGCCCAGCAGGGTCGCCGACGACTCCGTCAGCTCGCGCCGCGGGAACGCCGTCCACAGGGAGAACGTGGAATTGGACAGCTGCGGGTACATCACGGTTAGCATCACACTTCTTTTAAATGGAAAGTTTTAGTACATCGGCCTTGGACCCATTTAAATGCATCACTGTCTCTAACTAATTTCGACGATGTTCTGTATGTTTTGTATATTATTATAGATATTGCTTTAATCTTACATGTAACTTTCCCTTACCATGCCGTGGCAACTTGTAAGTAAGACAACACTCAGCAAATATTTTGAAAACATGTATTAGTGTATGTTTTGTAAGTTGTCCTAAATAAATAAATAAAATAATTTTTTTTTTGTTTATCCAAGGCCGCTCGCATCAGCTGACCGCGTAACATTGATATTTTCACGCATTCATGCAAGTACTCCGCAGTATTTGTGTGTTTTGATCAGTGTATTGATGTAAATATTATTGTTCACTTGATTGTGATGGACGTGGTTTTAATACCGTAAACCGAAAATTGCCTGAAAATTTTCAGTTAAATGCCTACGATCCGAAAAAAGTTTCACTTGCAACGTGGTTTCATAAAACCACACCACACTTTTTATCGTATAGGTAGCAAACAAGCAGACGGGGATATAATGATCTCAAGTTTTTTTTTTTTATGGAATAGGGGGTCAAACGCCCATGAACGCCTGCAACTCAGAGGTCACAAGCGCGTTGCCAGCCTTTCAGGAAGGAGTACGCTCTTTTCTTGAAGGTTTGAAGGTCGTATCGGTCCGGAAATACCGCAGCCGGTAACTTGTTCCACAGATTGGTAGTGCGAGGCAAAAAGTGTCTTGTAAAGCGCATAGTGGTGGAACGCCAATTATCCAAGTGGTGGGGATAAAAAATTTGCCATGTGGAACGATGGCGGAAGGTTACGGCCGGTATTAGTCCGAACAATTCCTCGGAGCACTCTCCATGATATATACGATCGAATACGAATACGATCGAATCGAGCCGGTCGCAAATGGATTGATCACCCTCCTTCTCCAGAATTAGGAGGTAGAAGGCTTGGATTATTGCACTAATAATAATTTAACATATCTCTGTTTTACTCAGGGCATACTGAAAGTTTTTGGATTCTGATAAATAAGACTAGATATAAGATTGACGATAAATTTATTGTTTATCAAAGTCTATTCCCTGGCAATTAAGGCATTTTTGCATTCGCTGAAACCACTGTACAAAGCAGTTGGATTAGTCTTCCTTAGGGACCTCTTCAACAGCTTTCACCGCTGATTCAGGGCTCGTAAAACGTGTGCCTCTAAGTTTGTCTTCAATTTTTGGAAACAAAAAGAAGTCGCAGGGTGCGAGGTCCAGGCTGTAAGGCGGATGTGTCATCAGGACTACATTTGAAGTCTTCAAATAGGCTTCTGTTGTAGTAGCGGAATGTGAGGATGCGTTATCGTGATAAAAGGGGACATGGAGATGATCACGTCCACGTCTTAATATTCCAAATCACGAATACCGAGCTGCGACATGGTGATTCATCACCAAATGCCAACTGAAGTCTCTGGCAACTCTCTTGTTGACTTAAGCCACAACGAAAATGATACGGAATCATTGAACGAAAACGTTCACGAGTTAAATTCATTTTGATAGCGACACACAATTTTCGAAATGACATCACAATGAAAAAACAAATGACGGTCTCGCAAATTACAAAATACTATGTTCCCAAAAAGTTTCATTTTCTAATTCCATAATTAGAAATTCCAGATCCAGAAACTTTTAGTATGCTCCGCGTATTGCTTATTTATTAAATTGGAGTACACACTTACACATGGGGTAACACAAATTTTTCTGTGTCGCGGGGACTTTACAATCTCTGTACTTTTCCCCCTTTTTTTAAAAAAAAAACACTTGTGTATACATTAGAGATTTAGTTTAAAATAAAACTGGATTTTTATTTCAATATATCAAAATTCAAAAGTTTTATAACCTTTTTCTACTAAGTTTAAGACTGCACAGATGGCGTAGTGGTTTAAGCGGTCGCCACGCCGCTTCTTACTACACCGAGTGTTGTGGGTTAAAACCCCACATGGGACGACACTTTGTGTGTCTTCGTGTCCGTTTCATGTATGTTTGTAAAGGCCTGCGCGACACAACCCCCCCCGCTCACCTGCAGGTTATCGGCGACGTATCTGTGCACGTCGGCGAGCGCGGCGTGCGCGGGGAAGTGCGCGGTGTGCGAGGCGCCGTCCGGCAACTTGAACTGGATACGCGCGCGACCGCCGCTGTCGCCTGGCGCTGGACATGAACGAACAGGTTACACTACACCGTGGACTATACGCGCTCCGGTCGGACAAGCAGTTTTATAGCAATATATAGATAGACCCTCTAGTATATCAAACCCTAATAGTACAAATAAGTGTACACAAACATTTATATAAATTTACATACAGTGGGTTAGTGTGCAATATTCTTCCATGCAAGCATTAGATGGAATTAAAGGTTAATGAAAACTTGAAATAGTTTTGCTAATAGAGAACTAGAAAGTACTAAACTGTCCGTTTGGTGACTACCCTTAATCATCCCGTGGATGTCGTAAAAGCTGACTAAGGCAGCAAACTATGCAGGACAAAGCGAAGGAAAATTTGAAACAAACCCTATTTCAATCCGGGCAGCGTGGTATAGTAGACCAAAACTTCCTTTCTAAGGAGAGGCCAATGTCCAGCAGTGGACTATTAAAGGCTGTTGATTTGTAATGTGAAACTACTAAAAAACAAACAAAATAAATATACTCGTATAAATACATACTCAGAATAGATTATTTTAATAAGAAAGTTGCGTGGAACATTACAAAAGTTGTATTTTTCAAGTATACTATACACTTAATAATCCTGAGGTAGCTATGGCTTTGTGGTCAAATAAATTCTTAAAAAAAATCAAATATAAATAATTTTCTAATGTAAACCTTAATTTTTTTAATTTTATTTCAGGACAAAGTTTATCGTATCAGCTAATACTTTATAGTAACTAAAACAGAAAGCTTGAATAAGTAAGTAAACCAATTTAAAAAATTAACACTCACTGGCGGGCTGTTCGGAGTTCTGCGGGACGGGCGCGGGCACAGGGGCGGGTGCAGGTGTGGGGAGGGGGGCGTCCCTCGCCCTCCTCTCAGCGCGGTCCTGCGCGATCTGCTCCAGGATCCGTTGGCGAGCCAGGTTGTTCTCCATCTTTTCACGTTTGCGCTCCTCCTGCGTGGAGAAAAATAGTGTATTTTATATAATGATTATTTTTTAATGCATTTTATTATGCAGACGACCGGATGGCGTAGTGGTTTGTGTAACGGACTGCTATTCCAAAGGTCGCGGGTTCGATTCCCGCTCAAGTCAAACATTTGTGTGCATTAACATTTGATGTTTGATTTGGTCTGGGTGTTTCTATGTATAATATGTATGCATTTACAAAAAAAAAAGTATTTATATCAGTTGTCTAGTAGCCATAGGACAAGCTCTGCTTAGTTTGGGACTAGATGGCGTTGTGTGTATGTGGTAAAAAAAAAATATTCAGTGCCAATTCTCGTAGTAAAAGTTTGGTCAAAATTCAGTACCTATCAACTCTCGATCTCACAACTGTCATAAAAGGTATTTTCGTAGTAAAGTATTAAACATCCAACGTTTAGTGTAATGTGATTATGTCGTAACGCGTATTGTAACCGAATCTTGAATCAGTATTTAGTACTTACAATACTCTAGAAATATTGGTTTGTCCTTCTCTCGGCATCCTATAATGTGGTATTAACACAGTTTAATATCGAAACATAATTTTATTACAATAAACAAAGTCAAGAGTAATGTAGGACTGCACAGATGGCGTAGTGGTTTAAGCGGCCTATTACGCCGAGTGTTGTGGGTTCAAACCCCACATGGGACAACACTTTGTGTGATCCACAAATTGTTGTTCTGAGTCTGGGTGTTATTTGTGTCCGTTTCATGTATGTTTGTAAAGTCCCCCGCGACACAGGATTTATTCCTAGTGCGGGAGTTGTCTATATTAAAAAAAAAAATTGGTTGCCTGTAAAGTCGGTATACGGGCGAAAGTTTTACGTGACAACTACTATGTCTGTCTCTCTCGCTCTTAGGCGGGCTAACCATGCCCGATTGGAAGGGACGCGTGCCTCTCACTCGCTCTCATTGTGAGCGCATAACGTGAGCGGAGCGTAACGCAGTTTCTTGAAGTGTCACCCGGCAAAAGAAATTTATAAGACGTTGTCACGTCAAAAAAAATAATCTGTTTCGACTCTTCTAATATTATGTTACGGTGAATTAGAGCATTAACTAAGCACGGCGATGACTCTCCAATCGGACTCAACAGTGCAAGAGAGTGGTACGGTTTAACTAAGAGAATACCTATTGTGACAGTTGTGTGTTTGATTTTGATAGTTTGATGTATATATTTACCTGAATATGCTTTAACTCTTGGTCCGCCTGCCATCTCTTCAATTCAGCTACTCCTTTCCCTTGAGTACGGCGTTCTATCTCCTTCTCTTTTTCAGCCTGTAAAATAGAGAGGGAGTAAATGGATGACTGAATTTTATTGTATTTTAGCCTTATGTGGGTGAGTGATTACCAGGCCTCACAGAAAACCAATGTTAAGGGGAAAAGAATATCCTCAACTTTTTATGGTGGGAGAGCCATGACCGGAGTATACCAACGCCTCACTGCAAACCGGTGTTAAACAAATATTTCGTTGCTTTTTCAGCGAGTGAGTGAGCTTAACGGAGTCCCCAACCCCACCCTTGTGACGCTTGGGGAGGGGGGATGGACTCGATGGACGGCAACGCACTTGTCCATCAGGTGACTGAAGCTCGTTTGCCCTCCAAGAATCTTAAGTGCCCCTTTTGAGTCCCTCCTAGAAGTAGGGGTCGGAAAAATAAATAAACGTGCAACGTTCATTTACCAGCAAATGGCAACTGGTCAGATTATTACCTCTTTCTCTTTATCACTCTTCTCCCGTCTTCTTGCTTCTATAAGCTCTTTGGCGCGTTCCATCCTCTCTTGCATGCTGGCAGTACTTTCAGATTCATTCGGTAAATTCTGAGGACAAGAATAATAAAATAAATAATATTGTAAGACATTAACACAACGCCATCTAGTCCCAAACTAAGCAGAGCTTGTACTATGAGTACTAGACAACTGATATAAATACAAATACACTTCTTTTTTTGTAAATACATACTTATTATAGAAACACCCAGACCAAATCAAACATTAAATGTTTGACTTGAGCGGGAATCGAACCCACGACCTTTGGAATAGCCGTCCATTAGACAAACCACTACGCCATTCGGTCGTCAAGGTACGGAATCATTCTGACATAAAAGAGGTTTTAAATTCGACAAAATATTTTTGTCCGTGTGCGTCGATTCCCGGGTAAGACCAAATGTTTGTATGTTCTGCAAATATTTGTTTCGGACTTTGAATGTTTTCTGAATATTTACAAAAAAAGTATATACTTAAGTATTCTATCAGTCAAACTAGCTTTCATAGTACAAGCTCTGGTCAATCTAGCTTTCATAGTACAAGCTCTGGTCAATCTAGCTTTCATAGTACAAGCTCTGGTCAAGCTAGCTTTCATAGTACAAGCTCTAGTCAATCTAGCTTTCATAGTACAAGCTCTGGTCAATCTAGCTTTTATAGTACAAGCTCTGCTTAGTTTGAAACTAGATGGCGTTGTGAATTAGATGTCTGAAAATATTATTATTATTATATTATTAATTGCTTCAGACATTTTAATCAAGGTTGGTACCATCTAGATTTAAGGAAATTATTTCAGTCCCAAGTGTAAAAAATTAAGTATGCAGAATGTAACTTAATACAATTTGTCAGAGCTTAGAAATAAAACGAGTACAGTCGGTGATGTTGTTGACTGCCTCTAATAGTTCACTGCTGGACATAGGCCTCATCTTAGAAATGAGGTTTTGGTATGGCCACGCTGGCCAGACGGTATAGGGTTTGTTTCAAGTTTTCCTTCTCTTTGCAGTGCTGTTGTCCTGCGTAGTTTGCTTCCTTAGTCGGCTCTTACGACACCCACGGGATGAATATGGGTGGTGACACTCCGTATTCTTAATCCGGCACCACAGGGATAACTTTAAGTTGGTTAAATAACACCAGTTTTCTATGAGGTCGTGGAATCACTCCGGTCGAGCCGGATAATTGTCGGAACATGGCTCTGCCAGGGTTTAATAATTTTAAAACTTACCTGTGAAGCGTCAGTGGTGGCAGGAACAGGAGGAGTCATCGGCTGCGAGGGTCCAGCCTCATCAGTCTTAGATTTGACCTGTCGCACGCATACACCGTCGTTGCAGACAACTTCGTATTCAGGTGATTTTTCAGTCTTGGCCAGCTTGGCGGGTGGGCCAGAAGAATCTAGGAAAATAAAATGTCACTTATTTGCAACCTTACTTGTAGAAAATATAATGAGTAGCACTTACGACCTAAGGCAGTGGTTGTGGGTTCGATTCCCACCCAGAACGTATATAGTGTGGTGAGCACGATCATTTGTTCTGAGTGTGGGTTGAAATTAGTCTCACCTTCTCCTTCTGAGGGTTTTATCTCAACGTTCTTTTCTGGGGCGTTTTCTGCAGCGTCAGTCTTCTCCTCTGCTGGACGAGAAGAGGCCATTCTGCCTTCCGCTTGTAAGAAATTAACAGTCTGCTCTCTAACATGCTCAGACGACGTCGAAGGCTGGATTGGTCTTTCTTTATCTGTGGAGTTTAAAAAAGTTTTAAAGCCGTGATGGTGACCGCTTACCTTATGTAATGTAATATTCAAACGTACAGATCTGTTGGTCTAGTGGTTAGCGATTCCTACAGATGCCGCGGGATCGGTTCCCACTTGCGACAAATATCGTGCAATGAGTATATGTATATGACATTGTTTCCATTAAAAACCCCGATAGCCGGCCTCAGACGCCCTACTCTGGGGAGGACCCGGACCATGTGATTTTAAGGTGTACCCCTTTTTTTTTTTTCCGTGCGGGAATCCCCTCGGATACCACCTATCGGTGGCATGTCGGACTCGAACCGACTAAAACCGCACGCCGTCTCGGGTACTAATAGCCGGGGAACCAGGTATACCCTAAAAAGGAAGTCCCTGGTGCTTTAAGGTGTACCCTAACACAGAGCTCGTTATCATCAGCCTTTAATAGTCCACTGCTGGACATAAGCCTCTCCTTAGAAAAGAGGTTATGGCCTACTATACCACGCTGGCCAGACGGGTTGGTATAGGGTTTGTGTCAAGTTTTCCTTCTCTCTGCAGTGCTGTTGTCCTGCGTAGTTTCTCCCTTAGTCGGCTCTTACGACACCAACGGGATGAATAAGGGTGGTGACACTCTGTATTCTTAATCCGTCACCAATAAATCAATGGTGGTATACTTACGATGTTCCTCCAATATCCTATCTATTCTAGTCGCTAGATTACCGGGCTGTACTCCTGCGCACACTACCTCCAAAGGAGTACCATTCCTCCCTATAAAGAATAGTGACGGTACTGGAACGAATTGATCTGGTGCGAGAGTTAAGATATCATTAAATTGTTAACAAACAACGTTAAAAGCTACGAAAGTTGCCGGCACTTTATAACAGATGGCGTTACTATAAGATTAATCTGATATATTTTAAGAATGTGTTATTAAGTTAGCGTGGTTAAAACAATTTATTTTTTGTCCGCTTGTGAACATTGGAAAGGGTTTTGCAAAACTAAAAAGCGGCCAAGTGCAAGTCGGACTAGCCCATGAAGAGTTCCGTAGCAGCAAGTAACATAATATAAAAGTTCTTGTGTTCGTTGTAACTTTGATCGAATTGAATTTTGATGAATGAAAGGTAAATGGAAAGGAATTTATGACGTATTAAAAAAAAACTACTTACTTCTCGTTCAAACCAGGTTTCGGTGGAAGTTTGCATGGTAATGTACATCATATATTTTTTTAGTTTCATCATTCTCTTATTTTAGAAGTTACGGAGGGGGGGGGGGGGGGACATTTTACCACTTTGGAAGTGTCTCTCGCGCAAACTATATATAATAACTAACTATATAAGGGTACCATTTTTTGGCTTTTGGCGACGGAACCCTAAAAAGGCGAGTATCTGGGGGTACGAAATAACGAGGCTTAGAACCAACACGGGACTAAGACTGCAGTCGCTGCCTATAACTAGGCTAGACTACTAGACTGGTGTTTTTTGAGTCGGGGTTGCCAACATTTTCAGAGAAAATTATGGTAACAATTTATATTTATACTGATAAATCGGAGCTTAATTGTAAAAATAATTTGGTTTATCTGACGTGTAGTCCACTCTGTCACTGTATGACAGAGTAGACTACGTTTAACAAAAAATATATCTTTCTCAGGGCTCTCAGGGCGTTGTTACTCCATTACGGTAGTCCAGTAAATAACGCTGGTTGAGCCAGCCCATTTTTTTCTTTACAAGTAATGACCAAAAAACATGGTTGAGTTCGATTGCAACGCCGGCTAAACCAAAATATTTTCGTAATTAAATTCCGATTTACCAGTATAAATGTAAATTGTTACCACAATTTTCCCAAAAAAAATTCCAACCCCGACTCAAAAACACCAGTCTAGAGATTTTTCTCTCGACTGGTGTTGTTTTTTTTTTGTTTCGGTTTTCTCTTTTTTTTAGCTTTGAAACAGTGATTAAAAGGATACAGATCTGTGCGAAATGCGTGTAGTTAGCTGATCCACTCTTTAGCTTCACGGCTAAGAAGTTATCCTGGTCCGACAGCCGAGTTACGACTGCTGTGTCATCAATCGTCGCTGCCATCTCCACGGAGAGATCGTTGTCGCCTGAAAGAGAAGAATAATATAATAATACTAGCTGACCCTGTCTACTCCTCGTTCCTAATTCAAAACAATCCACTTCTATTATGCCCCACGCATACCTCCACATGTGTCCACTCTTCGTTCCTAATCCAAAACAATCCACTTCTGTTATGCCCCACGCATACTTCCGCATGTGTCTACTGTACGTTCCTAATCCAAAACAATCCACTTCTGTTATGCCCCACGCATACTGCCGCATGTGTCTACTGTACGTTCCTAATGCAAAACAATCCACTTCTATTATGCCCCACGCATACCTCCACATGTGTCCACTCTTCGTTCCTAATCCAAAACAATCCACTTCTGTTATGCCCCACGCATACTTCCGCATGTGTCTACTGTACGTTCCTAATCCAAAACAATCCACTTCTGTTTTGCCCCACGCATACTGCCGCATGTGTCTACTGTACGTTCCTAATGCAAAACAATCCACTTCTATTATGCCCCCCGCATACCTCCACATGTGTCCACTCTTCGTTCCTAATCCAAAACAATCCACTTCTGTTATGCCCCACGCATACTTCCGCATGTGTCTACTGTACGTTCCTAATCCAAAACAATCCACTTCTGTTTTGCCCCACGCATACTGCCGCATGTGTCTACTGTACGTTCCTAATGCAAAACAATCCACTTCTATTATGCCCCACGCATACCTCCACATGTGTCCACTCTTCGTTCCTAATCCAAAACAATCCACTTCTGTTATGCCCCACGCATACTTCCGCATGTGTCTACTGTACGTTCCTAATCCAAAACAATCCACTTCTGTTTTGCCCCACGCATACTGCCGCATGTGTCTACTGTACGTTCCTAATGCAAAACAATCCACTTCTATTATGCCCCACGCATACCTCCACATGTGTCCACTCTTCGTTCCTAATCCAAAACAATCCACTTCTGTTATGCCCCACGCATACTGCCGCATGTGTCTACTGTACGTTCCTAATCCAAAACCATCCACTTCTGTTATGCCCCACGCATACTTCCGCATGTGTCTACTGTACGTTCCTAATCCAAAACAATCCACTTCTGTTTTGCCCCACGCATACTGCCGCATGTGTCTACTGTACGTTCCTAATGCAAAACAATCCACTTCTATTATGCCCCACGCATACCTCCACATGTGTCCACTCTTCGTTCCTAATCCAAAACAATCCACTTCTGTTATGCCCCACGCATACTTCCGCATGTGTCTACTGTACGTTCCTAATCCAAAACAATCCACTTCTGTTATGCCCCACGCATACTTCCGCATGTGTCTACTGTACGTTCCTAATCCAAAACCATCCACTTCTGTTATACCCCACGCATACTGCCGCATGTGTCTACTGTACGTTCCTAATCCAAAACCATCCACTTCTGTTATGCCCCACGCATACTTCCGCATGTGTCTACTGTACGTTCCTAATCCAAAACAATCCACTTCTGTTTTGCCCCACGCATACTGCCGCATGTGTCTACTGTACGTTCCTAATGCAAAACAATCCACTTCTATTATGCCCCACGCATACCTCCACATGTGTCCACTCTTCGTTCCTAATCCAAAACAATCCACTTCTGTTATGCCCCACGCATACTTCCGCATGTGTCTACTGTACGTTCCTAATCCAAAACAATCCACTTCTGTTTTGCCCCACGCATACTGCCGCATGTGTCTACTGTACGTTCCTAATCCAAAACAATCCACTTCTGTTTTGCCCCACGCATACTGCCGCATGTGTCTACTGTACGTTCCTAATCCAAAACAATCCACTTCTGTTTTGCCCCACGCATACTTCCGCATGTGTCTACTGTACGTTCCTAATCCAAAACAATCCACTTCTGTTTTGCCCCACGCATACTGCCGCATGTGTCTACTGTACGTTCCTAATCCAAAACAATCCACTTCTGTTTTGCCCCACGCATACTGCCGCATGTGTCTACTGTACGTTCCTAATCCAAAACAATCCACTTCTGTTTTGCCCCACGCATACTGCCGCATGTGTCTACTGTACGTTCCTAATGCAAAACAATCCACTTCTATTATGCCCCACGCATACCTCCACATGTGTCCACTCTTCGTTCCTAATCCAAAACAATCCACTTCTGTTATGCCCCACGCATACTTCCGCATGTGTCTACTGTACGTTCCTAATCCAAAACAATCCACTTCTGTTTTGCCCCACGCATACTGCCGCATGTGTCTACTGTACGTTCCTAATCCAAAACAATCCACTTCTGTTTTGCCCCACGCATACTGCCGCATGTGTCTACTGTACGTTCCTAATCCAAAACAATCCACTTCTGTTTTGCCCCACGCATACCGCCGCATGTGTCTACTGTACGTTCCTAATGCAAAACAATCCACTTCTATTATGCCCCACGCATACCTCCACATGTGTCCACTCTACGTTCCTAATCCAAAACAATCCACTTCTGTTATGCCCCACGCATACTTCCGCATGTGTCTACTGTACGTTCCTAATCCAAAACAATCCACTTCTGTTTTGCCCCACGCATACTGCCGCATGTGTCTACTGTACGTTCCTAATCCAAAACAATCCACTTCTGTTTTGCCCCACGCATACTGCCGCATGTGTCTACTGTACGTTCCTAATCCAAAACAATCCACTTCTGTTTTGCCCCACGCATACTGCCGCATGTGTCTACTGTACGTTCCTAATCCAAAACAATCCACTTCTGTTTTGCCCCACGCATACTGCCGCATGTGTCTACTGTACGTTCCTAATCCAAAACAATCCACTTCTGTTTTGCCCCACGCATACTGCCGCATGTGTCTACTGTACGTTCCTAATGCAAAACAATCCACTTCTATTATGCCCCACGCATACCTCCACATGTGTCCACTCTTCGTTCCTAATCCAAAACAATCCACTTCTGTTATGCCCCACGCATACTGCCGCATGTGTCTACTGTACGTTCCTAATCCAAAACAATCCACTTCTGTTTTGCCCCACGCATACTGCCGCATGTGTCTACTGTACGTTCCTAATCCAAAACAATCCACTTCTGTTTTGCCCCACGCATACTTCCGCATGTGTCTACTGTACGTTCCTAATGCAAAACAATCCACTTCTATTATGCCCCACGCATACCTCCACATGTGTCCACTCTTCGTTCCTAATCCAAAACAATCCACTTCTGTTATGCCCCACGCATACTTCCGCATGTGTCTACTGTACGTTCCTAATCCAAAACAATCCACTTCTGTTTTGCCCCACGCATACTGCCGCATGTGTCTACTGTACGTTCCTAATCCAAAACAATCCACTTCTGTTTTGCCCCACGCATACTGCCGCATGTGTCTACTGTACGTTCCTAATCCAAAACAATCCACTTCTGTTTTGCCCCACGCATACTGCCGCATGTGTCTACTGTACGTTCCTAATGCAAAACAATCCACTTCTATTATGCCCCACGCATACCTCCACATGTGTCCACTCTTCGTTCCTAATCCAAAACAATCCACTTCTGTTATGCCCCACGCATACTTCCGCATGTGTCTACTGTACGTTCCTAATCCAAAACAATCCACTTCTGTTTTGCCCCACGCATACTGCCGCATGTGTCTACTGTACGTTCCTAATCCAAAACAATCCACTTCTGTTTTGCCCCACGCATACTTCCGCATGTGTCTACTGTACGTTCCTAATCCAAAACAATCCACTTCTGTTATGCCCCACGCATACTTCCGCATGTGTCTACTGTACGTTCCTAATCCAAAACAATCCACTTCTGTTTTGCCCCACGCATACTGCCGCATGTGTCTACTGTGCGTTCCTAATGCAAAACAATCCACTTCTGTTATGCCCCACGCATACTGCCGCATGTGTCTACTGTACGTTCCTAATCCAAAACAATCCACTTCTGTTTTGCCCCACGCATACTGCCGCATGTGTCTACTGTACGTTCCTAATGCAAAACAATCCACTTCTATTATGCCCCACGCATACCTCCACATGTGTCCACTCTTCGTTCCTAATCCAAAACAATCCACTTCTGTTATGCCCCACGCATACTTCCGCATGTGTCTACTGTACGTTCCTAATCCAAAACAATCCACTTCTGTTTTGCCCCACGCATACTGCCGCATGTGTCTACTGTACGTTCCTAATGCAAAACAATCCACTTCTGTTTTGCCCCACGCATACTGCCGCATGTGTCTACTGTACGTTCCTAATCCAAAACAATCCACTTCTGTTTTGCCCCACGCATACTGCCGCATGTGTCTACTGTACGTTCCTAATCCAAAACAATCCACTTCTGTTTTGCCCCACGCATACTGCCGCATGTGTCTACTGTACGTTCCTAATGCAAAACAATCCACTTCTATTATGCCCCACGCATACCTCCACATGTGTCCACTCTTCGTTCCTAATCCAAAACAATCCACTTCTGTTATGCCCCACGCATACTTCCGCATGTGTCTACTGTACGTTCCTAATCCAAAACAATCCACTTCTGTTTTGCCCCACGCATACTGCCGCATGTGTCTACTGTACGTTCCTAATCCAAAACAATCCACTTCTGTTTTGCCCCACGCATACTGCCGCATGTGTCTACTGTACGTTCCTAATCCAAAACAATCCACTTCTGTTTTGCCCCACGCATACTGCCGCATGTGTCTACTGTACGTTCCTAATCCAAAACAATCCACTTCTGTTTTGCCCCACGCATACTGCCGCATGTGTCTACTGTACGTTCCTAATCCAAAACAATCCACTTCTGTTTTGCCCCACGCATACTGCCGCATGTGTCTACTGTACGTTCCTAATGCAAAACAATCCACTTCTATTATGCCCCACGCATACCTCCACATGTGTCCACTCTTCGTTCCTAATCCAAAACAATCCACTTCTGTTATGCCCCACGCATACTGCCGCATGTGTCTACTGTACGTTCCTAATCCAAAACAATCCACTTCTGTTTTGCCCCACGCATACTGCCGCATGTGTCTACTGTAC